GTGGACGATATGTGCCCAGGAATGAAAAACAATCGTAAGAGAAACTAGCATGGAATATAGGCAACCCCTTCAAAAAGCCTGGCTGGGAAGAGCAGGTCAGTGATGGGCCAAAGTCAGAGGCAGCTGCAGGGTGAAGTGGGGGATCCTTTATAGAAGTCAGGCTTCAGCCCAGGTCCCTGTCTTTATAAGCTGGCTTTTCCAGCTGGTCCCTGCCATCGCCTAAAACTGAGGCCACTCGTCCCTTGCCAGCTATTCTTCCAGAGGTTACAACTGTGATGCTGACTCTGACCTTGAAGTTGGGACCTTGCCACTCATTGATAAGCCACCTGCACACTGCCTGCCACCTGCCGGGATTGCTGGGCACTCTCATGGCATTACCTGTTGCAGGGCTGTGCTCTACATCACCATTGTGGGTGGACCCCACCCCCTTGCTAACTGTGGGTCTGAATTTGGACCATAGGTTTTGACAGCTGACTAATTTAAATGAATCTTGATGGTCAGCTCCTGGCTTCTATTTCACCCAGTAGCTAGAGAAGCCAGGTCCTGGGTTCACCCTCAGACCTGTAAGCAACCTGGCACACTCCATCAGCTCTTAAGATAGTCAACTATATTTTGAGGCAAGCACAGGCTACCTAAGTGCAGCCAACAGTGAGGGAGTACAGGCTGGATACAGCTCAATGCCGGTATACCTTGGGTGATATCAGCTGGAAACTTCTGACGGTCTTCACCAATCTCTAGAAGAGATCAATTTCCTAACAGTACACAACAGCAAACAAGCAAGCCAAGAATGCAAGTTGGCATGGGAGCTGGATATGTTAAGAATCAGAGCTAGAACAGTAGCCATCAGAACAACAACAGAGACCAATGTAAAGGTAGGCCATGTCTCTGAGCAAACAACAGATCCAGAGTTATCAGAATGAAATTAAAATGTGGCAAAATCTGCTGAGGGCTTAAAACCTGTAACTACAACTACCCATGACCATGCAGTGAAGGGAAGGAAAGTGGATCCTAATTATATATATTGTTTTAAATTTTTAAATGTTTATTTATTTTTGAGAGTGAGAGAGCGAGCCAGGGAGGGGCAGAGAGAGAGAAGAGGGAGAGAGAATCCCAAGCAGCCTCTGCACTGTCAGCACAGAGCCCAACATGGGGCTCAAGCCCATGGCAAGCTATCAGATCATGACCTGGGCCTAAATCAAAGTCCCCTTAACCAACGGAGCCACCCAGGTGCCCCGGATCCTACTTACAAACAGAAAATCAAAACTCAAGACCTTACACAGCTTTGAGAAAGTGGAAGTCCAAGGTGGTCAGCCCAGGGCAAATCAGGCTGGGTGGTTAGGGCAGTGATTTCCCTGAGTTTAGGACCATCCACCTCAACCATTTCACTGGTTGGTAATGGTCAGATTACCAGTGACGACCTTTCCTAAATTTACTTTGTAAAACATCTCTGTTTCACAAAAGACAACTCTGAAATGATTACAACAAAATAAATAGCTTCCCATGCTGGGTAAACTTCACCTAGTGACATCAGAATGAAGTTCCCTTAGTGGTGGATAAACCCGAGTGCATTTATTTCTGCTTACCATAAGCTATCAGCTACGAAGCTACTAAATATAAAGGTGGCTGTCTTCCATTTGATCCTAGCATAATGCCTGCTCCCATCATATCTTTCAGATATCATTTCCACTCAGTTCTTGGGAAGCTCTAGGTGATCTGGTCTAATTTTATTTATTTTTGAAAAAACTTTTAAGTATTTATTTTATTCTTGAGAGAGAGAGAAAGAGTACAAGGGGGGAGAGGGGGAGAGAGAGAGAGGGAGGCACAGAACCCGAAGCAGGCTCCAGGCTCTGAGCTGTCAGCACAGAGCCTTGATGTGGGGCCTGAATTCATGAACCACGACATTATGACTTGACCCAAAGTCACACACTTAACCCCCTGGGCCACTCAGACACCGAGTCTGGTCCAATTTTAAACAATCATAACAAGTATTATGAGTAATAAATGGTATAGCACACGAAACTACTGCATGGTGGACTGCACAGATTAATTAATTTAAATTAATTAAATTAATTAAAATTAAGATTGCTTTAAAATATTTAAGTCTGAATAAAATTGTATCAAAAACTTAATATTCCTCCTTAAAATCCCCCCCCCGCCCCCACTCCTTCCCAAAATGAGTTGTTTGCTGTCTCAAGCTAACAAACTTGCCTAGATTCATTTCTGGGCAATTCCTTATCTCAGTGATATCATCTATCTGGTTATTTTCCAGGTTAGAAAAAGCAACTTTTTTCCCCGATAAAAATGTGATATAGAACAATCAATGCCTTTGGACTCAGCCCAGTTCCACCGTTTACTAAGTGACACTGGGCACGCTTCCTAACGTCTCCACATCTACATTTCCTTATTTATAAAATAGGGTTGCTTTCCACTTCTCAGGTTTGTGGTAAGAATAAAAAGTAGCAGTCTTTGTGAAACACTTAGTATGGAGCCCAACAACACAAAACCTGACCAGCAGAGAGCCTGCCATAAATGGGAATGATCAGTATTCACGTATTCTATGACATTCCAGCATCTAGCTCTGCAGAGAAAAGGAACCATAGGACCTTCCTTGGTGCAGTATGTGCAAACCAACATGAGTATTTTAAACACATGCCGCAGATCAGGAGGCATGGTCACGGGGAAGGAGGAGGAGATAAGACTTCCGGATGCTAAGAATGGCTCCATTTGGAAAGGTCAAATTGGAAGCGGGGAGGGTGCAGAGGGGGGTGTGAGAATGTGTAGGGGTGGAAAACATCAATAGGGTGCATTTTAGGAACATCAGAGAGACAGAGTCTCCCAATCTCTCTTCTACCTGTCCTTGATTCCTGAAGTTAATCCATTCTTTCAAGTTAAGGCTAGGTATTCTTAAATGAAGACCATCCTGGAAAAGCTGACACTTGAAGCTATAATTAGTCATTTGTCTCTAAGTTTCAAATTGTTTTTTTGGGAGGCTCTGAAAGATGACATATGAAGGCCCTGGGCACAGAGAATGGGGCAGAAGAGCAAGCAAGGAGAAGAGAAAGTGAGAACTGGGATTCCCAAGGGCACAGGCACAGAGTGACCCACTTGGGTTTGGGGTACATGTTACACACCCCTTGTGTTCTATCCTGGCAGAAGTGGCACAGGATTTATATCACTGCACAATAGTCGATAACCCACTTTGCACACATTAATGGCTGACAGTTGGGCCATGTCTCCATCAATTTACACACTTTGACTTTTCTTCTGGGAGGCAGACGCAATCTGACAATCTCCTCCGATACTGTTCGTGCTTGGAGATAAATTCAGGCTTCACCTAATTCAGTGCTGCCTATGACTCCCACTCCTTATACATGGAACTTTCCGAAGTTACTCATAACCAGCCTTAAGCTACATGTGTAGGGAGTGGAGAGGGGACCAGACATGTTTTCAGTTGGGATCAACTTCAGCCCTAAATCCATACAAACATATCTCTTAATGAAGTAACAATAGCGATTAACATTCACCCATTCATTCCTCATACAAGTATTTATTGAGTACCTGCTATCCTGGAATTTATATTCCAGAGCAGGGAGACAAATCAATTAACAGCCAAATCTAGGGTGCCCAGTGGCATTCCTGCGGAGGCAAAGAATAAAGCCAGAAAGGATATGACAAAGGAACGTCAGCAGGTGGGAGGGTGGCTGGCTCTTAGAGGTGGGAGGCAGAGGCCCTGCTAGTGAGAACAAGAACAGTAGGAGGTCAGGTCAGAGAGGTGGCAGACCCAGGGCCCAGAGAGCATGGGTGCCACAGGACGTTGGCTTTTGCTCTGGCTTTCGCTCTGAGTTTTTGCACCAAGGACTAACATGATCTGATTTACATTTGAAAAGGACCCTCTGTGGTTGTGTTCAGAAGAGACTGTTGGAGGTGAAGGCAGGTATGGAAAGAGCCGGTTAGGAGTTTGTAACAACAATCCAGAAGACAGACAGCAGTGACTTGGACCAGGGTGGTAGCAGTGGGGATGGCAGAACTGTTTAGATGCTAGATTTACTCTGGCAGTAAAGCTGACAGTGATGGACTGGATGTGAGAGAGACTGAGGATGACTCCTAGTTTGGGCCTAAATGAACAGATGGATAAAAGCGCTTTGTCGAGATGAGAAAGGGTCAAAGAACAGGTGTGTGTCTATGAAGGAGAAGGGACTGGGGACGGAGTAGAGGAATCAGCAATTTGGTTTAGGATATATCAAATCTCAGAAGCCAAACAGAAATCTAAGTGATGATGTCAAGTACACAGAGCTCAGAGCCATTAAGAAATGTGCCCCAAGTCCCAGAGACTTTTTGGCAATTCAGCCAGGGAAACTAGTAGAAAAGCTGTTCCCCAAATGCAGAGTATACTGTATACAAGGAATACTGAGCTCCCTACTACTATTCTGAAGGTTTAGTTTTTATTTTATTTTTTAATTTATTCATTTTTTCTAGAGAGAGAGATAGCACACACGCTCATATGAGCGCACATAGGGGAAGGAAAGAGAGAGAGGGAGAGAGAGAAGCCCAAGCAGGCTCCGTGCTGTCAGCATAGAGCCCAATGTGGGGCTCAAACTCACAAACCATGGGATCATGACCTGAGCTGAAATCAAGAGTCAGATGCTTAACCGACTGAGCCACCCAGGTGCCCCAACTTTCTGAAGTTTTAAAAGAACAAAACAAAATTCAATTCCACCCTCTCCCTGTTGAACCTCTGAATGCAGTTGGATGGAGATTAGAAAGGTTCTCAGACAAAAAGGCCTCCAGGAAACAGCTCCTTGTGGTTACACCAGGGAGCTTATCCTTTGAAGTCTCTCCCCACAGTTGTGCTTAGATAAGATGTTTTCCACCCAAGACAATGAATCATGCCTCCGAGAGGTGCTATTGGAAGAGAGAGAAACAAACGGCCACGTACCTGTATGTATTGGGGGGCGGAGGGAGGTGGTCAATGTTAGCTTGTTTTAAACACTGCTTCTTACCTGGATCCAGATCAGAAGAGCAAAGACTAGAAAGGGCTTCTACAGAACTAAAAGGCTCGCTGTCGGGCTCCTGATGGGGTCTCTGCAGCACGTAATCTCTTATGTCATTAACCGTTGGCAAATCCAAGGCACTGCTCTCCTCGGACTGGCTGCCTGGAGTGGCTTCCTGGGTCGCCATAGTCCTGCCATGGAAAAAATAATTCAACACAAGAGGCACTGCCTAAGAGGAGCCCCCGTTTCAGTCCCAGTGCCCAAAGGCCAAACAACAGTTTGGGCAGAATACTGTTCTTTCCCATTAGTAACAGCCCTCCTTGTCCTTACTGTAGACCCAGGATGTGTTTCCCGTGTTTCTTCACCACGAGAAACAAATACTCTCGACACAGAAAGAAACCATTAACAATTTCAGCTGGAGAATAAGCCGCATGTCTGAAAAGGATGAAGCACTGTGCAGCACACGATAATCCAAGGACGACAAGAATACGTAATGAGAGGGGCGCCTGGGTGGCTTAGTCGGTTAAGCGTCCGACTTTCGCTTATGTCATGATCTCGCGGTATGTGGGTTCGAGCCCCGCGCCGGGCTCTGTGCTGACTGCCAGCTCAGAGCCTGGAGCCTATTTCGGAGTCTGAATCTCCCTCTCTCTCTGACCCTCCCCTGCTCACGCTCTCTCTCTCCAAGAAATAAAAAAAAAAAAAAAAAAAAAAAAAAAAAAAAAAAAAGAATACGTAATGAGAAGAGAGACTGTCTATGATACATTACGTGGAAAAAAGATTTTTAAACAACAGGTAGGATTTGATCCAGACTTTATAAAATACAAAATCGTGTGTGTGTGTGTATAAGAAATATACAGATCTCAACTTCAGCTCAGGTCACGACCTCATATTTTGTAAGTTCGAGCCCCCCGTCGGGCTCTGTGCTGACAGCTCAGGGCCTGCAGCCTGCTTCGGATTCTGTGTCTCCCTCTCTCTCTGACACCCTGTCTCTCTCTCAAAAAATAAATATTAAAAAAAAACTTTTTTTTAAAGAGCATCTGGAAGAATACACCTCAAATTAACTTCAATGGTAATTAATTCAGCGGTTTGATTTCTTTTTTTTTTTTTAAATTTTTTTTAAATGTTTTATTTATTTCTAGGAGAGAGAGAGAGACAGCGTGAGCAGGGGAGGGTCAGAGAGAGAGGGAGTCACAGACTGAAATAGGCTCCAGGCTCTGAGCTGGCAGTCAGCACAGAGCCCGATGCGGGGCTCGAACCCACGAACCGCGAGATCATGACCTAAGCAAAAGTCGGACGCTTAACCGACTAAGCCACCCAGGTGCCCCTCAGTGGTTTGATTTCTAACTACTGAGATTTTAGGTGACTCGTATTTTTATCTGTGGCCTACTCAAACATGCATTCAATCAATGATTTAACATGCCCGGCTCTGAGTAGACAAAGGTGAATGTAATAGACTTTTCCTTCAAGTTGCTCACAGTTTGGGATGATCCAAACGCAGCAACATACTATGTAAACACAATGACGAGACAGAACAGAACCCAGAAAGGAACAGTAAGTTTTCTGGAGAAGATCATCTCCAAGCACGGGGCAGGCCAGGCCAATGCCTGGGGAACAGTGCAAACACCCGTAAAACCAGCTTGGGCAACCAACCACAAGTGGCACTGGGTGTCGGGAGTTTAAAGTGAGAGTCAGAGAACAATTGCACATGGGTAACTGGGGAGAGACAAACCCTGTGGGCTGCAGCTGGATGGCCGTGGGGCTCTCCTGTCCTAGCTCTGGGAAGGATGGCAAGGCTTGGTTGTTGATAGCAACTTGGATGCACAAACGCTCCAGCTGAGCTCTAGAAACCACAAAGATGGTTTATTGAGTTCATCTCTTGCACATTTCTTATTAAAAATGAGGTGTTCCTAAAAAATAAAATAAAATAGAATTAGATCTTCCTTACCCTCCCTCCCCCGATAGACCCTGGTCTACTTGTGGGTGCTGGATTCTTGGCTGGAGGGTTCTTTTCAGTGCATTCAGCTCTGCCCACTTCTCCATAAAATAAGATAGGCCCGGGGTGATCCTAAACCCTCTGCAACTCTCTGCCTCATAAACTGTCATCAACGAATCATATTCTAGCCAACACCATGCATCATGACTGCCACAGGCCACCGCATGCCTTGCAGAGGAGTTTACACGGCCAGATCTGCAGATTTGGCAGCTGGATGGGAGATGAATTTATAGAGTTTCAGTCCAGTGGCCAGTGATCTTAGAAGCAATAGGAATTCATCCACCTGCCATGGCCCTGGTGAGAGAGGAGGAGCATGTGAACTAGGGTAGGGCAGTCAAGAGCAGGGGACAGACTAAGAACATATTTAGGAACTCAAATGAGAGAAGAACTTAATCACTGAACAGATGAAGGTCCTAAAGAGAAAGAGAGTCAACGAGGGGTGGCAGCTTCGACGACTGGGTTGTTTTATCTAACTGGGTTAGAGAAGACTAGAGAAGGAATAGTTTTAGAAGGAGGCAGTATTCCAAATTACAGAATACCGTGCAGCTGTTAAGATGGCAGTTGGAACCTGAAAGATCTCAAAGACATATGTTTGAATGAAACAAGCAATTTCAGAATAACAGGGACAGTATAATAATAAGAGTAGATGACATTTATCCAGTGCTTATTGGATGCCGAGCATGGTGCTAAGAGCAAGAACAGCCCCATGAAGCAGGTAATCCTACCACTATCCTCATTTACAATCAGATAGTCAGACACAGAGAGAAGCAGAGTGACTTGCCCAAAGAAACTCATCTAGAAAATACCAATCTGGGATGAACCCAGCCCCAAGACCTCCCAGCCTCCTGTGTCTGCACAGCCCAAAGTACCACCCTATCAGGCAAAGATAGGGGGTGTAAAAAACAAATCAACAGAGAGGCCTGGCAAGATTCTTGTTGTTTGAGGACACCCAGTCACATGCTGTTGTGGACATTAGCTCAGGCAGACAGTGAGCCAAGAGAGCAAGCAGCTGATTGCTTCTGAAAGAAGCAGAGGGATCAAGGTTCCCAAAGAAGCAAGAACATCCTGTCTCTTCACACATATAACATTAGCCAACCAAGCCTGAAGTTTCAGCAAACACCTCCACCACAGGCATCTGTGTCTCTTCCTTCTCCCCTCGTGTTACCAAACACTGCCCTGGAGGCTTCTGGAAGGGAAAAAACAGGTCAGTGAAGGACAGCAGTACATCCTGCCTGCCTGAAAAGGAGCCTTAACATCGACCATCAAGCAAGAGTGTCATTAGTGATACAAGCAGCATATTGATGTGATACCTGTCTTTTCTTTAGAATCACTGGTGTTAGATGTCAAATACATCCCAAACTGGGCATTTGAACAAAAAAAAAAAAAAAAAAAGGAAGGAAGGAAGGAAGGAAGAAAAAAGAAAGCCTACTGAAAGGCAGAATCTGGTTTTTTACAAAGTAAGAAACTATGCCTGCAAAACGTTCTTTGGAATTCTGAAGTTGCATGGGAGAAAGCAAGTAATAAGTACAGATGAGACCTTTCCTAGGGTCTGCATCCACCTAAGCAGACAAGTACAGTGTGATGGTGATCTCTGTCCTAAAACTTTAAACACATGGTTCTACTTCCTTCTCTAGAAGAGCTTATTTTCTTCTCTTAAAAGTACTTTCGTGCACCTAGCTGGCTCACCAGGGAAGCATGAGGCTCTTGATCTCATGGTTGTGAGTTTGAGCCCCACGCTGTGTGTAGAGACTGCTTAAAAGAATCTTTAAAAAAAAAAAGGGGGGGGGGCGCCCGGGTGGCTTAGTTGGTTAAGCGTCCAACTTTCGCTCAGGTCATGATCTCGCAGTTTGTGGGTTCGAGCCCCGCGTCAGGCTCTGTGCTGACTGCCAGCTCAGAGCCTGGAGCCTGTTTCAGAGTCTGTGACTCTCTCTCTCTGACCCTCCCCTGCTCACGCTCTCTCTCTCTCTCTGCTAGAAATAAATTTAAAAAACATTAAAAAAATAAAAAAATAAAAAAAAAAGAAAAGGCTGAGGTGCCTGGGTGGCTTGGTCGGTTAAGCGTCCAACTCTTCATTTTGGCTCAGGTCATGATCTCACGGTGTCATGGATTCAAGCCCCCACTAGGCTCTGTGCTGACAGTGTGGAGCCTACTTGGGATTCTCTCTCCTTCTCTCTCTGCCCTTTCCCCACTTGTGCTGTCTCTCTCTCAAAATAAACAAATAAAACTTTAAAAAATGAAAGGCTTTAATTACACACTTTAGGCTTTCTTTTCCAATGCCAGAGGGGCACAGGCACAAGACATCTCTTTGTATATCAAAACCTGCTTACTGGGCGAAGACAGCCATTCTCCCATGACTACAGATTCTTACCGACCTACAAATCCAAGTCAGTCAGGGTCCTCAGATTAAAAGATATTTAGCTTCATTTCTTCTTTCAGTCAAAAGTCTTCCCTCCCAACATTTTACATGAAAAGTTTCAAACATAAAGAAAAGTAGAGAAAATTATCTGATGAGCATTCTTATAGCTACTGTCTAGATTTCACAATTAACATTTTACTATGATTTTCTTTATCACAAAACTATCCATCTATCCAAGACTCTATTCATCTGTCAGTTCTTCTTTTTATACATATTTCCAGGGGCACGTAATGAAGGGTTCTGAGTTAGTGCATGATACAATCAATTTGTTTCCAAATGCTCACGCTGTTAGCTAAGTGAAGGGTGAGTCAGAGGAGGGTAAAAGCAGAGAAGGGAACACAGCTGGGAAGCTCTGCAGAGAGGTCCGAGATACACAGGGGGTCGATTAGAAACTCGATTTTTAGCTGTGTTACCTTGGGCAAGTCACTTCACAGCAGTTTCCTCTATCTATAAAAATGGCTTGATGACCATGCTTACCTCACAGGGTTGTCATAGGAATTATATGAAATTAATGCATGTAAAATACTCCAGTAGAGAACGCATGCTTAATAATATCTAGATCCAATAATCGAAATAGTAATAATTAAAAAACAATCATAGGCTTCCACCTTCCCAGTCTATGTCCCATCCATTTGCCCTCCTATTTCCCATTCAGTAGCCATCTTACTTCATTCATTCTTATCTAGTGTATTTTATGGTCCATTAGCTTGTTAATACCCTAAACTTCCCTTTCTGAACCATCCTGTCTTCTTATCACACCCCTTTGGCAAAACCATAGCCTAGATGAACTCAATTTATGTCCCCACTCTGCAGGGCTAGACATGAGCCACTGAATAGAGCAAGCTGGCTCACTCTAACGGAATAAACATCAACCTGAAATGGGCTGTCTGGCCACAGGAATCTTGAGATGTTTATCTCATTACTTCCTCTTCCCGCCTCTTTGACTCTTGTGTTTTCTCCCATCTTCAACTCAGACTCTTCCCATCTGTCACACACCTTCCTGCTTTTTTCAGTAGATCTACTCACTTCCTAATTGACAAAGAAAACAGAATCCAGCAGGGAGGAACTTCCTCCACTACCCTGTCAAGCAGAACAAAGTCTCCCATGTCTGTACACTGCTTCAATCCTCTTCACAACAGAGAGCTGTCCCTCCTATGGCAAAGTCCAACCCTCCACCTGCACCTGAAATCTATTCTCTAGAACCTTTAACAAGCCCTCAGTGATGACAACCCCTTCTCTCACTTCTATCCCACTAGATCTTCACTCAGATTTTCCAATATCCCAAATTGCTCCTATTTTCAACAAAACCTAGTATGAAAGAGAATATCCTTGTTCTTTGGAAATGCCACTCAAATATTAATTGGTAGAGGGAATGACATGTACAACATACTATCAAATAGGTGTGTGTGTGTGTGTGTGTGTGTGTGTGTGCAGGTGTATGAGAGAGAATGATAAAGTAACTTGATGGGGCAAGTATAGACAGTTGGTGAACCTGGGAAATGTTATTTGGGAGTTCCTTGTACTAGTCTTGCAATTTTTTGAAGGTATAAAATCATATCAACATTAAAAGTTGTCAAGAAATGGTGCCTGGGTGGCTCAGTCGGCTAGGTATCTGACTTTCATCTCAGGTCATGATCTCATGGTTTGTGAGTTCAAGCCCTGCATGGGGTTCTCTGCTGTCAGCACAGAGCCTGCTTTGGATCCTCTGTCCCCCTCTCTCTCTGCCCCTCCTCCACTTGTTCTCTCTCCCTCTCTCTCTCAAAATGAATAAATAAAATAAACTTTTTAAAAAAAATTATCAAGAAAGTGGGGTGCCTGGGTGGCTCAGTTGGTCAAGTGACAGACTCTTGATTTCAGCTCTAGTCATGATCTCATGGTTCATGAGTTGAACCAACGCTGCTTGCTTGGGATTCCCTCTCCCCCTCTCTCTCTGCCCTCCCTTGGCTCCCATGCACAAGCGCTCTCTCTCGCTCTCTCTCTCAAAAAAAAAAAAAGTTGTCAAGAAAAAAAGAAAAGTGAAAAGGAAACCTTTGACACCTGCCCTCCCCATAGCCAGTCTCCTCTTGTATCCACAAAATTCTCAAGAGTCTAAACTGGTTCATTTCCTCGTCTCCACCAACTCTGTGACTCATCCTCCATTCCCAACTGGACTTCCTCCATGTTTAGCCCAAGGTTCTCTCCTCTTCTGAGGCATTAATCACCAACCAGAAATTTCTCTCTAACCCAGATCCTCCAACATCAGGTCCCACTGCTTTCCAGGATTCAAGCATAATGACTTTCCTTCAGGTTCTCCAATAAGCCCCACTTCCTCCCAACTGCACTTGTCATTCCCTCCCCCTAAACAGCTCTCCTAAAAAATGGAAGAGAAGGGAACACTTCCCAATTTACTCTAAGCTCAGCATCAGCCTGATACTAAGTCAAGACAAATACATCACAAAAAACTACAAACCAGTATTATGAATACAGGCACAAAAATCCTTGACAGAATACTAGCGAACCAAACCTAGCAAAATACAGAAAGGATTATACTCCATGACCAAGGGGAACTTATCTTAGGAATTCGAAGTTGTTCTAACATCTGCAGATTAATTAATATAATATACTATATTAGAAAAATGGGCCAAATAAACAAGAATAAGGGACAAAAACCACAACACACACACACACACACACACACACACACACACACAGCATTTGAGAAAGTCAAACACTCTTTCATGATCAAAACACTCAACAACTAGAAATAGAAGGGAACTTCCTCAATCTGATAAAGGGTATTTTTTTTTTAAAAAAATGCATAGCTAGCAGCATATTTTGTGGTAAGATGTTTTCCCCCTAAGATCAGAAACAAGACAATAGTGTCTGCTCTGATCACTTCTATTCAATATGATACTGGAGGTTTTAGCTAGCAAAATTAGGCAAGAAAATGAAATAAAAGCCTTCTATATTAGAGAGAAATAAAACTATTTCTATTAACAGAAGATGTAATCTTTGGATAGAAAATCTCAAGGAATCCACTTTAAAAACTAGTAGAAACATTAAACAAGATTGCTGGATACAAGATCAATATGGTAAAATCATATGCAAATTATTTTACACTAGCAATAAAAATATGTAAAAATATTATGGAAATATTTACATACACTAGCAATAAGCAATCCTAAAATTAAATTAAGAACATAATTCCATTTACAATAGCATCAAAAAAGATTAAAGGGCTCCTGCGTAGCTCAGTCAGTTGAGTGTCCAACTCTTGATTTCGACTCAGGTCATGATCTCACAGTTCATGGGAGTGAGCCCCTCAAGTGGACTCTGTGCTGACAGTGTGGAGCCTGCTTGGGATTCTTTCTCTCCCTCTTTCTGCCCCTCCCATGCTCACACTCTCCCCAAAAATAAATACTTAAGAAAAAAAATAATAAAATATTTAGAAATATAGTTAATAAAAATGTGTAAGACAGACACAATGAAAACTAGAAAAAAACTTTTGAAAGAGAGGCTCTTGGCTGGTTCAGTCAGTAGAACATATGACTCATGATCTTGGGGTTATAAGTCTGATCTCCATGTTCAGTGCAGAGATTACTAAAATTAAAATCTTTTTTAAAAGAGTTGAAAGAAATTAAAAATCTAAATGAATGGAAGGACATCCAATATTTTAAGATGGCAATATGGCTTGAATCAATCTACAGATCAGTGTAATTCTTAGTGGCATCTCAGTTGTGTAGGGTTTTTTTTTCTACTTGCAGACATTGACAGAAGTCCTTAAAACATTCATACAGAAATGCAAGCGATCCAGAATACCCAAAACAACACTGAAAAAGAACAAAGTTGGAAGACTCATGTTTTTTTTTAATTCAAAACTTATTAAAAAGCCACACCAATCAAGACCATGTAGCACTGGCATAAGTATGGATGTATAGATCAGTGAAATAGAACTGAGAGTCCAGAAGTAAAATCTTACAGTTATGGTCAGTTGATTTTGCCACATGGTGACAAAACATAGGAAAGGAAAAGGGCAATCTTTTCAACACTGAGACAACTGGAGAGCCACATACAAAGTCACCAGCACTTTGGAAAACTGTTTGGTAGTTCTTCAAAAGATGACACTTTGACCTGGAAAGTCCACTACTAGGCATATGCTCAAGAGAAATAAAAACATATGTCCACACAAACTTTACACAAATGTTCACAGCAGCTTTATCCATAACAGACAATAAGTGGAAACAATCCAAATGTCCATCAACTGATGAATGGATGAATAAAATGTGGTATACGCACACGTGGAATATTTTTCAGCTTTATAAAAGAATTAAGTTCTAATACATGCTGCATACATACTTAGTGATAAGAACCTAGCATTAAAAAACAAGACAACAGATCCAGAATGGTTTCGCTTATCTTAAACTCCACAACCAATCAGGAATCGCCTAATCAGCAGTGGTTGGGTAATCTGCCAGATAGAACCTTCCCATCTCCTAAAGAGAAGTAACCACGCAATAACCAACCTGCTTTTTTGGCCTAGTATTACTTCCTCGTTCCTGCTCCCTTCTGCCTATAAGTCTCTCATTTTGTTCAACTCCTCAAAGCTCCTTTCTATCTGTGAGATTGGATCCTGCTCAACTCAAGTTGCTTTCTTGCTCAAGTTAACTTAGAATTTTAAATCTACCTCGGTTTATCTTTTAACACTAGTAAAGAAAGACCACGCGTTGTATGATTTCATTCGTATCAAATGTCCAAGTTGACAATCTATAGAAAGTAGACTAGTAGTTGCCTAGGACTGGAAGGTCAAAGTGAATGGAGACTGCTAATGGGCACAGGGTGTTTCTTTACCGTGATGAAAATGTTCCAAAATTAGATTGGGGTGGGGGTTGAACCTGGGTAGCTAAGTCAGTTAAGCATCCTGCTCTTGATTCTGGCCCAGGGCTCAGGTCATACACAGGTAATGACCTCATGGTTCATGGGCTGGAACCCTGATGGGCTCTACAATGACAGTAAAGAGCCTGCCTGGGATTCTGTCTCTGCTCCTGCCCTGCCTGAGCGTGCACATGCGCTCTATCTCTCTCTCTTTCTCTAAACAAGTAAACTTTAAAAAAAAAAAAAAAAAGATTGTAAGGACGGCTGCACAATTATGAGAATATATGAAAAGCCACTGAATTTTACACCTTAAACAGGTGGATTTTATGATATGTATTTATATCTTTACAAAGCTGCTTTTTAAAAAGCAGAAGAGCCAAAGGGCATCCGGTCACACTATCTGCAATTCTAGGGGACTTCCCCAAAGAGGTGTCTGTCTGCAAAGGCCATGAGTTGTTGGGGTGGAGGAGGGGGCGGGACGGGTAAATTGGAAGTGTGCCAGGGGAAGCCGCCATAACTTCCCAATTATGAGACTGATCTAATACATTGCCTAGACCCCCTGCCTATTACCAATCTCAGGGCACTCCTCGTTCCACTTGAACAACTGATAGAGAAAACTTGCAAAGTCCCCTTTACACTCACCGACCGACAACAGCAGCACATCCAAACCCGGAAGCGGAGACGCCATATTTGTTATGGGAAAAGCGGGTTTGAAAGGAAGTCACTGGAGCCACTTTTACTGAGGGCAAGTAAGGGCAATAGAATGTAGCTACGGCCATCTTGACTGAGGGCATTGGCCAAGCCCGTGAAGTTTTGCGCCCTTGACTAAGCCTTTCCAAAGGCTTATTGGTAAACGCGCTTGGTGGACGTTAAAGCGAACAGGAAAAAATTTAAATTTTAAAAAATTTAATGCCTACGTTTTAAAAAACATAACGTGTAGAGAGAATTAACAAAGAAAATAAAAATATTTTAGTGTGTTGCATGCAGTTTAGGCATACACTACTGCCAGACTTGTAGGATCACAGAAAGGAGACTGAAGGTCATTGTCCCATTTCACCATCTTCTTGAAAGAGTCCTGTACACTTACATCCTCCTACAGATGCCTATCTTAGAATAGAACCCCATAAATGAAGGAGTCCTTTACCTGAGAAGAATTTTTCAAATAACACTAGCTGAGGTTTGGGCAACCACATGCCACATTTGAAGGCAAATTGAAAAACAGAATCAGAAGTAAAAACATATTCAGACAAACCTAACCAGCAACTGTAAATTTCACTTTCTCTTCCAGCATTGGTAATCAAAGTGAACAGATTCAATTTTCACCTTTTTTCTTGTAATATATCTTATAAAAATATTATTTTTATTATTATTTTAGAGAAAGAGAGAGAATGCATGTGAGCTGGGAAGTGGGAAAGGGAAAGAGAGAGAATCTTAAGCAGGCTCCGCTAAGTGTGGAGGTGGTGGGGAGAGCTCCAGCCCAGGACCCTGGGATTGTGACCTGAGCTGAAATCAAGAGTTGTCACTCAACCAACTGAGCCAAGGCGCCCTAAAAACATTCTTCTAAAGTAACATAGATTGTGATTAGAGAAAGCCTGGAATAATACTAAGTTACTTTCTGTTTGTTTCATAAAACAAACTCAAATATATAAATGAAATTGATTATCCAGATTATTATACAACTATAAAAGATGATAGAAAATACAGCAAAAGAAGATCTGAGATCATGCACTGCATTCTCAGTTTCCATATTTTTTTGGCCTCCTCAAATCTCCATTTCTCAGTGTTTTTGTATTTCTTCGTGTTAACATTTTTTTTAATTATTTTTTTAATTTTTTTTTTTAATTTTTTTCCGAGAGAAAGAGACAGCGTGAGCAGGGGAGAGTCAGAGAGGGAGGGAGATACAGAATCTGAAACAGGCTCCAGGCTCTGAGCTGGCTGTCAGCACAGAGCCTGACTCACGAACCGCAAGATCATGACCTGAGCCGAAGTCGGACACTTAACTGACTGAGCCACCCAGGCACCACGATGTTGACATTTTTTAAGATTTCACATTACTTATTTTATGGAATGTCCCTCAACTGGAATTTGTCTGATGCTTCGGCCTGGTCTGCAATGGCATTGAACACTGTTGATCACGCCCTCCCTCTGGAAAACTTTTGTTCCTGGGTTTCCCTGATACCACCTTCCTATTTTTCTTTTTCCACTCTCAGAAATTCATCTAAATCTCCTTCATAAGCTCTTCTTTCTCTTCATTGTGGGCCTTTCTCAGGATTCTGTCTTGAATCTTCTCCCTCACATCTATGCAGATGATTCCCAAACCTCTAAGCCTAGTCTCCTCCTGAGATTCAAATCAACATATTTTTCAGCCACCTTTTATTCAAACTTTCCACACCTCTCAGTCAACCTGCTCTTACCCCAGTGTCTCCTGTCTTCAGTGAATTGGATCATTTAGTTGCCAAAGCCAGAACATTTTTCTCCTCCTTTGTCAGCATGTCCTGTATACAACCATAATCAAATCCTCCCCTGCTGATTCTTTCTCTTAAAGCTCTATTGACTATCTCTTAATTCTCTCCATCCATACAGCTGTAAGGACACAAGTCTAAACATCTAAACCAAACTCCATGACAGACTTTAAGTTTCCCCTCTAAACTAGAAGGCCTTTGTTTCAGCTTTCTCTTAACTTTCAGGCAGTTACACATTGCCCAAGGCAGGAGAAACCACTTTTGCAACACTCAATCAGGAAAGTCCAGCGACCACCCTCCACATTACTAAGGGAGAGGCCTGGAGATAGAAACTATAGATAGGACCCTGTTACCTAATGGTAAAGTTAACCTGTTAGTCACTGAACAAGACCCTAGGCTCGCTCTGTGATTGGTTGAATTTAAAAGTACTCTAAATGTTGTGATTGGATCCCGCCAAAAGTAACGAATACTCTAGACAATGTGTATGGTCAAACCCGCTGTCAATGATGTTGTATAATTATGATTGGATCACTGTTCCCATGTCACAACTTCTGTAACTCCCCTGTCACAAACCCCATAAAAACCCTACTCTGCCCTTGTTGGGGGCTCTCAGCACGGATCCACTGCGTTGGTGAGGTCTGGGACCCCGAGCTTAAGCTCGAATAAACACCCTTTGCTTTTGCATGCATGACTCGGACTCCTTGGTGGTCTTGGGATTTTGGGGAGATTGCGATCTGGGCATAACACAGCAACTTTCAGAGTACAGCTCACCGTTATCTACCATGGGGATGACACAGCTTTCCAACTCTCCAGCAACCAGTTGTTTTTGTTTTGTTTTGTTTTGTTTTGTTTTAATGAAGTTGAGCACACCAGTCCCTTACCCTCGGGCTAAAGCTCAAACTTCTTTACTAGACTTAGAGGACCCCTATCCCTTATCTCCCATCACTATCCTCCAAACTTCCACCTGTACACTATTTTCTTTTCCTTAAATACTCTGTGCTTGCTTGTTTTCGCCTCTGAGCTTTTTACCTATACAATTTGCTTCCTTAGGGACACTCTTTGGTCTTTCTCATCTTTCAGATCTGAATCTAAGAAATTCTTCCAGGAAACTTGCTCTGACTCTTCAAATGAAAGTTAGTTGTCCCTCCTAAGAATCCTGCATTCCTCCATTTACCCTGATTAAATTCCTTTGCCCTTTCTGTTTCTCCCACTAACTGTAACTGCCTTGAAGGCAAGGACCATGTCTATTTCATACTAGTAGTCCAGATCCCAGCCCAGTGACTCAGAAAGGATTTTTATATGCATCAATTGATAAGTCTCTTCTCAGGTACCTCCCATTCCCCACTCAATCCTTATACTTTCCAAAAAGTCTCAAAAACATACCTTCTTGCTGATTTGTTATCAGTGAAACAAACCTCGGAAACTTTTACCGTTGTCACCCTTTCCTTGAAAAACACATTTGCTGGGGTGCCTTGATGGCTCAGTCGGTTAAGCGGTTAAGCGTCTGATTTCAGCCCAGGTCATGACCTCATGACTCGTGGCTTCCAGCCCCTTGTCCAGCTCTGTACTGACAGCTTGGAGTCTAGAGCCTGCTTTGGATTCTGTGTCTCCCTCTCTTTCTGCCTCCTCCCCTGCTTGCACTATCTCTCTCTCTCTTTCTCTCTCTCAAAAATAAATAAACATTAAAAAAATTTTTTAGGAAAACACATTTATTTGCTTATAAACTGATTCTTATTTATACTTCTGTGGTCTTTCCATAATAAGTTGTATCTTTCTGATGGGTTTCCTGGAGCAAATTTCTGAATTCTGTTTCTTTGCCATATAGCATGCTTCTGACCATCCCTTCTTACCACTTTCAATTGATTAGTTCATAAGAAATAAAAACTAATTGAAGTCATCATCAAAACAAAATAGGGACTTTAAATCTGCGAAGACAGCAAAATAGAGATTTTATTGCATTCCAAAAGTGAGGTATAAGCTATTTCGGTTCCCCTGCTGTTTTGCCATTTATTATATAACAGCTGTAAAATACTGGGTTATGTCACAATCTTATGAAACCTTTATATTTCATGGTTGATTTTTCTGCCATCAGCTAAGCTAGCTGCTGCCAAATCTCTTTGAGTAGAAAGAAGTCACTTTAGGTGAAAGACCAGAATAGCTCTTTCAAAGTGGGACGATGTTGTTTGCAGTTACCTTATCTGTCTTTGTTATTCTGAACTTTGATCTAATTACTCACCCATCTGGGAATTTAGCATTAAGAAAAAAGAAAGAAAACTTTGCAAAAGTTCAAGGGTTAAGTAATTGATGAGTCTCCAGGCATTCTATTGCTTTTCATTCATGCAATATTATAGAGCCATAATTAAGCAATAAATAGATTACCAAGGAAGAGAATAGGTGTATCAGATAGGCTGTAAACTCCTAGACTAGACTGGCAGATCCATGAAAGTGAAGGTGTGGGTTTTATTTGCCAATGGATACCGAGCACTTGGACCATGTATATTTATCATGAACAAAAGCTTGGACTTTAATTTCTAAAGTCAGTACTAGCACAATGGTGAAGACTTTCTGACCTATAACCCAAAGCCACTCTGTATGATCTATACTCAAAGGTGAAGAAACAAGTGCCCTTAGCTTAGAGTCAGGAGGTGGAGCTTCAGTCCTAGCGCTCATTAACCAATTATGTGGCTGTAGCCATTTAATCTCTGTGAGCCTCAAATTCCTTATCTGTAAAAGGGAACAATAAATGCCTTCCAGGACTACTTAGAAAAAAAAACTGCTTGATGGAATAATTGACAGATTGATGGCCAGCAATTCTAAATTCACTTTTCTCCCAAATGAGTGATATGAAGAATGCCAGGTATAATGAAAGTATAAGGTGAGCAGAGAACAAAAGCAGTTTGTAGAGGCTGTAGATTAAAACATTGATGATATTTATAAATACTAAAGAAATCATTTGATTCTTATACATTTGTTGGAATGTGATGTCTGGGGTCTTAGTAGTTACTGCAAAGCTTTGAAGTCGTCAGATACAATATGGTGATGAAGATTTTTATGTGTTTATGTTCATCCTGACTCCAAGAACTTTTAAAGGAAGTGAACGAACATTTTACCTGGGGACTTTAGACAGTACATAATATATTCCATTTACTATGCTGCATAATATATTACCCTAAAATTTGAGGCTTAAGATAATAATTATCATGTATTATCTCTTACGGTTTCTGTGCTTGA